AAAAATAAATGAAAAATAATAAAATCATATTGAATACATTACTCTTAATTGCCATGGAAATGTCACTTCACGTTTTCTTATAAGAATCACCGTCTTTGTAAGTAAAATGACTTCAGTTGAAAAAACTTATTATATTATATCTCATATATTATATTATTTTGTTTTAGAAACGCTTTATACATCTCATATGTTCGAACCTGAACTGAGGTAAGAATTTTTCATCTGTGGCAGAGACAGGAATTTCCTTAGATCAGCTTCTTCGAATTAGGTTTTCCTGCAGTTTTCCTAATTGGTAAGGTAAATACCGGAGTAGTATAGAACAACTTAAGACCTTCTGCAGGGGGCATCTCTAAAAAGCATTATGCGGGCCACTCTGTAATTGGGCGCAAGCCTGTTGAGCGCCCAGAACTAGAGAGGAACAATAAATAAACGCATATTCGGTGAATGATAATAGCGAATACTATAATCAATTCGTTAAAATATGCGAAAGCGAAATTGTTTGATACTAATCTGTTAGTTAGGTGATGAAAAGATATGCAAAGGAGTAATTTCATTACAATTCTTGGTTGACAGGAACATCTACACTGCACGAACTTTAAATTTAATTAGTCTGAAAATCTAGATTAGGTGTTACTCCAACGAACGTGTACTTCCTAAACTTGACAACGATTTCTGTGTAAATTTCCGGGTATTCACACACATCGAGATTAAATTACGTTACCTGTGGAGTTATACATAGGTACAAGTTTAGCTATAGGTATAATAACAACATTTTCTGAGTAATGCATTAATTGACATTTTCACAACAGGATGGACAAGAATGGAAAGAATCGATAACTGAATCATCGAACCTTTGATAGCGATGGACTACTTCAACGCTTTATTTCGAGTGCTGAAAGAACAGAACCACAACTTGGCTGATAATGAAGAGCATGGCGAAGATTATGTGGAAGCCTTCAGCTCATTACAAACGAGATGATAAGTCATAAAGTAAAGAACCAATGTGAAAGTTCGAGCTGGAAGATATAAACCTAGCAGTAACCGCTGCAGGGTTAAAGAGATCTATTATCGGTCTACTAGTCTAAAAAGCAAAACGGTCGCTGGTCCAGTCATCCCTAAGACTATCGATTGTTTTTGTTCGTGAATTTTAGCAGTACCTACCTACTAAGCGTCGAGACAATTAGATCGGTTTTTTTGGCAATTTCTAGAGGAACTCTGATACAATATACCTAAACCGACCCAGTCTGGAGTAAATAAATGATAAATTCCGTCAATAATTATTCTGTGTATTGATGTCTTGTTAAAACAAATATTATAAATAAATTTGTCTTAACTTTAGTTTTGATTTATAAAACCTCCTTACTCTACGTAATTAGATATATCCAGAGCTGGGCAGTATTCGATTTTGTAAATACTTTTTAGTATTCAAATCCTTTAAAAAGTATTCAAATACTTTGTAATTAAATACTTTTTATGGAAGCAGTATTTGTATTTGTAACACAAATACTTTCACAAATATTTAGTATTCGAATACTTCGCAAAGTATTTGGATACTTCGTCAAGTATTCGAATACTTCGCAAGGTATTTGAATACTTTGAGAAGTATTCGAATATTTCGCATAGTATTTGAATACTTAACCTTTCTTTTTTACCAAAAATCGACTACACCAAAATTTGGTGCGTAGAATCCAAAACAGTTCGTACTTTTTCGATCAGACTTCTCAATCAAAAGTTATAGACTAGAAACCAAGTCGAAAAAAATTCAAAGGGCTGTAACTTTTGAACTAGTAGCCCAATCTTGGAACTGTTTGAAATTATGGATTCTACAGGTCACGTTCTATAAGAACATTTTTTCCCGGGTCGATCTGAGACAATTTTTTTTCGGGCCTCAGAAAAAGGTAGTGTATAACCTTCCTTTTTTACCAAAAATCGACTACACCAAAATTTCTCGGGAAAACACTTTTTCTTATTAATTTTGGTGCGTAGAATCCAAAACAATTCGTACTTTTTCGATCAGACTTCTCAATCAAAAGTTATAGACTAGAAACCAATTTCGAAAAAAATTCAAAGGGCTGTAACTTTTGAACTAGTAGCCCAATCTTGGAACTGTTTGAAATTATGGATTCTACAGGCCACATTCTATAAGAAAATTTTTTTTCCGGGTCGATCTGAGACAATTTTTTTTTCGGGGCTCAAAAAAAGGCAGTGTATAACCTTCCTTTTTTACCAAAAATCGACTACACCAAAATTTCTCGGGAAAACACTTTTTCTTATTAATTTGGGTGCGTAGAATCCAAATCAATTCGTACTTTTTCGATCAGACTTCTCAATCAAAAGATAATTGACGGATGTATGATAAAGGAAAGGAGTGCGACATCAACAAAAAGAACTTTTTAAAAAATCCTATAATTCGATTGGCCCCAATTGTGAATCTAAACTATTCGAGGAGGCACAGGGACACATAAAATAAGTTCATTAAAATCAGCCCAGCCCTTTAGGAGTTCCGTCACAAACACATCTACAGAAGTTTTTTTTAATTCAACAGAAACTTCAAATCATCCAAATTAATTAACGATCTTGCTATTAATTAACTTTTTCCCTTTCGTTGCTTATGAATATGCTGTAAATGGTAAGTTGCATTACTTTAACTAAGGTAGCATAAAGGGATGATATTGAATACTTGATTTCGTTATTTAATTAAATAATCATTTTTTTCTACGACTTGTTTGCAATTTCACAAAAACAAACACAAAACGGGTTGTGTGTGAACTAGAAACTCTACAACTTACACCCGCTGTGTGAAAGTAGATATTAATTAATTAATCACAACAAGAAATGTTAATTTATGGTACCTACGTGCTAACAACTTGGTACATAGTAAGAGAAAATAAACAGAGAAAGGCAAATGTAATCCATTTTGTAACACCACGTGGGCACTATTTGGAGCCGGACATTAGGGCGCGGCCGTTAGGACCAAAATAACACCATTGTCGCAAGATCGTTAGCTTTAGTTAACGGATTATAACCAGGGTGCCCTTAGCTGTAATCAATTTTGACTACTGTTGTACCTTCCTTAATTTCACTGCTTCCACCGCGAATCCGGAACTTCTCCAAGACGAACCTGTAATTTTTAAACAATAAAAGAATGGATTTACTCGTAAATGCAGCTCTCAGCCCTCAAAACTTTGTTATGTGACACGGTGGCGCCACCGCACGATTGCTTTCCGTCTTTTTCTAAGGAAACGTGGTAAATGGCGGCTTTAATTTGGCAGATTGCCTAAGTAGAGGACAGGAATACTTTACAAAGTATTCAAATACATTGCGAAGTACTCGAATACTAAAAATTTGCGAAAGTATTTGCGTTACAAATACAAATACTGCTTCCAGGAAAGTATTTAATTACACAGTATTTAAATACTTTAAAATTTGAATACTACAAAGTATTTACAAAATCGAATACTGCCCAGCTCTGTTTGGTATTTATTATAATTTATTACTTAATTAAACAGTTTGAAAACTATTCCGACCCTTTACCTTTGGCCAGCCGGATGGAGTTACCCGAAGACAATACCCAGTATATCCTACAAGACTGATTTTTCTGTTTCCAGTAGCAGTTGCCTTGGTTTTTCATTGGTTCTTAGAGATCTACCATATACCCTTTCCATCGATTTAGAATTTCTTCCAGTACTTCTCTCGTTGCTATAACCAACGCTTGGTGATCTATCCCAGGTGACCTCTTTAATTCTGTTGTAAACAACATCATGCCTTCCATTCCTGTCAAGTTCTTCTTCACTTCACTTCATTGATTCATTGATTTTCCCACCACCTTTTCTTAGTTTCGTCGGTCTTTTTTTCAACGTTGTATTTTGCCTGCGGTAGTGTCTTCTTCCTTCTTTGGTACTGATGGTTGATTTTCTGATTTATCCAACGCTTCTTTGATCTTATTCCTTTTTCTTCAGTTGCTTTCCTTATTCCCGTCGTGAATTGTGGTCTACTAACACTTCTTCCTCAACTAGTGGCGCCTTTAGATTCATTACTTCATCCCTAAATTTCCCCACTTCATCTTTGTCCATAAAATTTTTAATTTTTGAGTTCCATTTCCGTTCCTTGCTTGTTCTTTTCACGATTTTAGGCCTAATTTTCATGTCTGTTATAAATAGAACATTGTCGCTATAAATATAGGGACGCCCACTCGCTTTGTTTCTGTTTCGTTCTTCTATAAGTATGAGATCTATTTACTTTTGGCAATGATCTCCTTTGTTTCCTTGCAGGAATCTGTGTCTATCCTCACTCTCTCATTTCTCTTTCCAAGTCCATACATACCAACTACATTCCCCTCTATTCCATTTCCCACTACTGTATTCCAGTCGCCCATTACGATTTTACAACTACCTCCCTTTGGCATGTAAACATATTATACATCGTTTATCCATCACCGCTATTATACATCACTTACACACTTGGAAAGTTCCATGCTGTCAAGAAATATCGCTCCGTTTTTTTCCTTTTTTCCACTGTAAAAGACATCATCACAATTTCCTTCCACCTTTATTCACTTACTCCAATCAAATTCGGTGTTTGTTCTCCACCACTTCTCCACGTAAATTTCCAAGATTTTCCTTAGTAGATTTCTGAAGTTACAAGCCCGCATCCCCAATCTTTTTTCCTTCTCCTCATTGTTCTTCTTGAATGCACACTTCTGATACCACGGAAATCTGAGTTGAGAACTATTTTACTTTCGGAAAATTTAATCCATATCTCTCTTCATCTATTTCTGGCACTTCTCAAGGAATACCGTGAGGTTTTTAATGGAGTAGTTTCCCCTGGTCTTCTCCATCCTGACCCCGTTCAACTCATTATCCCTTATATCCACTAACCAAAAGTTTTTTTTTTGGAGGAAGAGAAACCCCGATCGAGGTTTTTAAAGGTAAAGCGATGTATAGTAGGTGAAGAACCACAGTAGGTTTATGAAAGTATGTACAAATTTATTGATGGTGTCTAATGAAGAATAACAATGGTAACAATATTGATTTAGTTCATGGCGTATTAATAATGATGATGACCACCATGATGTCCTACAAGCGCAACTTTGGCGTGGGTTTCTGGGTGAACAGCGTGTCCAGATCGCTCAACGACTGCGTTGAAACCGTTCTTGTCATCGGCTGTGTACTTTACGGTACGGACGGTACCATCGGCTTCGTGAAGGGAGTATTCTCCATGGACCGCGTCTCCGTCACGTACTTCGTGTTGGCTGTGGATATCGTGTGTGTGAGCGTCGGATACGCCATAGTTGAATTCGTATTTCGGGTGTGCCTATAAAGTTTGCCATCAGTATTTTGAAAACCTAGGGAGAGACCTACGTGATAGTCGACGTGGTGTGCGGCATGTCCGTGAGCAACGAGAGGAGCGGCGTGGTGGACGATGGGAGCAGCGTGGTGGATCAGAGGAGCCGCATGGTGATAGGCAATTGGAGCTGCGTGGTGGTGAATTGGAGCTGCGTGCTCAACGTGGTGCCCATAACCCAAATTGAGCGAAGCGTAAGACGACGCTCCATGATGGTGTTGGGCATACGCCGCCACAACAGCACATGCGATCAAAGCAAGCTTCTAAAAATGAAGGTTTAAGTAATTAATCCCATATTCTGCTAAGGCACACTTACGAAGAACATATTTGGTATATTTGTGAGACACCGAACTGAACTGATCACTACTCAAAACTTGCGCTTATTTATACTGAACTACACCTACATTTACTTTCATTCCTAATAATTAATGGGAATTATTTTTTAAGACAGAATTCCAATCGTGAACTTGAAATTTTAATGAATTCGTATCTGTAACAAAATTGCGTAAACCGAGCGACAATTAAGCAAAACTTTCTCATTTTTAGTAAGCGAGCGTTCGAGATTTCATAATGAACTGCAGATCGTCAACAAACTTGCAATTTCCTGTATTTTAGAAGCGCGCCCCATCATCTTCATTCTAAAAAATACACAAATTTACTATTATTTTATCAAAATTGCGGCGTCACTCTTTAGGCAAGATTGGTACAATTCAATTCAATCGCCTTATTTAGTTTTACTACCTTAAATTGCATAGCCTCAGGTGCCAAATAATTGCGGTTGTCAGTTACTTACAGCCCATAAATTGTGTATGCGTTATTATATAACTCTTACTACGACAGAAGGATTTAAAAACGTTATTTAATGCAGTTGACTGCAATGTTTTTATAACATTTTCGTCCAAACAATCTTCATTTTTAACACAGGAAATTATTAAGTACATCAATTAGCATAACAAGTTGTTAAATTAAATTTCGTGCTCCTTGCGTCGAGTACAAGGTTTAAGTTGAACAATTGCACGTATTTTTAAATTTGACAGAAGAAGGCTATGCCGACTGCTCAGTGTACTGGGTGTGTATTATTGAGGAACTTACACGGACACGTTTTCCAATTCATTAAGTTGAGAAGCCCTTTCGAATAAAAAATCGCGGAAGACATTGAGAGATTGTTATTTTTTACCAAAACTTTAGATCAATACTATTCTTCAATCAAGAGCAGTTTGAAGTATAGACGATTGGATTGGAGTCCTAAATTGTTGTGTTGGAAGGCTGAGAAAATTTTCCGTGTGAGGTATATTACCCGAACCGTGTGCTAGTCTACCAAATTAAAACTTTGTCCTGGTTATTTTTTTAATTCATAGACTTGGTACTCGTTTTTAATATGGGTAGGGTGGAGGCACCAGTTTTATCCACTTTAAGACAGATTTCTTGTTTTGAGTATTTGTACGTTTTCTATACTTTTGAGTTGACTCACTTGTGTAAATAAATAGGATCACTCATTGTACATTTTTTAATCTTAAAACACTATTGAAAGAAAGAAACAATTAAAACATTAAACAAAACTTGTCACTAGACTTCTTTTTGTATATCTTTCTTCCACATTAGTAGACGCTATACCTTTTAAATTGGTATTCTTTGTCGTTCATTTTTGTTAATTTACTTTTCATTTAAGTTTTCTATCAGCTGTTTTTTATTCTTGAAATATTCCTTTTTGTTTCATTGGGCGTTAAGGCAAATGGTGTTTTTTATTTGCATCTTTTCTTTAATTATTTGGGTCAAGTTAATACATTATTTAATATTTCTTCATTAAAACGCTTGTAAGGTGATAATATTTTGAAGAGCCTTGATTTTGTCGCTTGTTTGTTACGTTCTTCTAACGCAGTTGAAACACAATCATATCCTTTGAATAAAGATAATGCGATCTTGTTTCAGAATGGCTTCATGTTTAATTTTATTCAAGTAATCGTTTTGTTTATTTTGATATGTAATTTTTGTTAATTTAAATTACGCGTTTAAAATATTAGGTTTAATAATCTGGTGAAATGCTTTGTTAAAGTTTATCTCATGTTATATACGGCCATTGTGATAAGTTTCTATCGCTGCGTCAGCTAATTAGTTTTTAGATAATCAGATATTTTTCGCGACCTAAGCATAGATGTTTCGACGATTCAACGATCCAATAATTTGGATAAGAGGGAGAAGCTTCTGATAAGTAGACAATGGAAACGGAAGAATGTTTTAAATACGCGAACTGGACGTTTTGGTAGTTAATCGTTGTTTTTTTTTTCTTTTACTGAACGTTGAAACATAGCCGCTTATCAGCAGTTTTGCCGTATTTAAGCTTATTATTGCAAGACAGTCTTGCAAGTTGTAAAGTGTTGAAAAAGGGAGTTGTTTGAGTGCTCGAAGAGGTTTTTAATTTCACGCTTAAAGTGAGTGTTCAGTCGAATTAAAGAAATGATTCTTCACCTTCATCGGCTTGTGATATTCATATAATTTTTTAGGTCCGTCGAAATGATACGGTTGATTAAATCTCTTTTTCTTGCATTTATCGATTCCTAAGATTGTGGTTTATTTATCCCTTCAGATTTTTTGGGGTCTTTTCGCATATTTTTTCAGATTATCTAAATTCTGGGGACTTTTCCATTTATTCAAAATCTTTATACACCTCAGCCCTCTTCAGATCCATCATACTATTCAAATGTTTCGATTTTTTAATTTTTCGGATTACTTATATCCTTTAGACTCTTTAGAGTTTAGAATATGCAGCTTTTTTAACCCCTTGAATGCTTCGGGTGCTTGAGCTAATAAAAAAATATCCAGATTCCTTTATATGAATCCAATTATAATAAATAATTGCAACGCAAATCTGGTTCACGCAATTAATTTCCACAGATCGTTTCCTTTAATAAAAATAATAATAATTTAAGGATAGTATAATTACGTCACGTGAAAATTCTCAAAGATAGCCCACCAATCCTTTATACAACTAAAAAAATTCAAGTAAAGTGGTAGAGATTTTATGAGAACCGGATCCTACCATTTCTCGAAAAGGGTGTGAATGAACTGATTAGGCGCGTCTTCCACTTTTAATAATAATAATATTTATTTCCAACAGACAAAGTCTTATACAGAAAATATCCGGTTACAGGTTGGCATAGTTTTGAGTCCTGCATTACATATTATGGTTGTCATAATCATTGAAATATATCTATATTGTGTTGCAATCTATGATAAGTGCAAAACATTTTAACCACGGGGGAGTTTTTATAGTGTTCTGTTCTAGGTCTATTGTAAAAGAAGGTTGATAAGTTTCTCGTAGCTATAGGAGAGATTCTATAACTTATTGAATTGACAATATCGGGAACATCATAGTGACCGTGAATAATTTTGTACAAGCTTTTAAGTATTACATTATCATGGTGTTCTCTTAACGATACAGTGTTGAACAAATGTAGTAAGTCTTCATGAGGATGGCCACGGGCAGGATAGGAGCCCATTGTCAAGAAGAACATGCGTTTTAGAAACTTACGATGAACACTCTCCAATTGTCCGATGTTATGCATTGTAGAAGGTGACCATATGGGACCGCAATAATCCAGTTTGCTTAGAATTAGTGTATTAAACAAGATTTGTAAAACAGATGGACATTTAAAATCACTAGTGTTTCGCATAATGAAACCAAGTAGTCTGTTACATTCATTTGATAAATTCGTTATATGGGCATTAAACGTCAGTTTGGAATCAAACGTGACACCGAGATCTTTAAATATTTCACACTTTTTTATTTGATTCCCCGACACATTGTAACTATATTCTATTGGCGATCTACTGCGCGTATAAGACACGGTATAGCATTTATCAATATTCAGTTTCTAAGCCGTTTTGATGGCACCACTCATTTATGCGGTCCAGGTTAATCTGGAGTAGTTCACAGTCCTGCTCTGATTTAATGGCCCGATATATTTTGATGTCGTCTGCATATATGAGGTAATCACTCGTTAATATTGAACATATTGAGTTCATAAATACAACAAAGATGAGTGGTCCTAAGTTAGAACCTTGTGGGACTCCGCTGGATGGATCAAATGGTTGGGAAATGAATCCGCGATACTCAACTTGCATAGTTCTGCTTACAAGATATGACTTAATCACTTGCACTACATTTTCAGCTATGCTCAGTTGCTTAAGACGCTGTATTACTAAGTGGTGAGGCATTCGATCAAAAGCTTTTGTTAGGTCAGTGTATATTACATCTGTTTGGACCATTTGATCCATATTGGATGATGTGCTGCGTTATGTGGAGTAAATTTGTAAAAGTCGAACGCTTTTTCATAAACCCATGCTGGTGTATAGAGATAGTTGAGTGTATCTTGCAATATATGTACTCCGCCAAGATGGATTCAAAGATCTTACTAAAATTAGTTAGCAAGGACACTGGACGATAATTCTGGATAACGTTTTTGTCCCCTTTTTTAAAAATTGGAGTAATTTTTGCTGTTTTCCATGCTTTCGGATAATGGCCAGTTTTTAATACCAAGTTAAATATGTACGTCAAAATAGGAACAAAAATTATAGCGGCGTCCTTGACAAAAAATTCGGGTAAATTGTCTGTTCCCATGGTTGGTCTCGATTTCAGTCTTTTAAACTGCTTCCTCACTATGTCTTCGGTTACTCAGAAGTTCCCCATATGCTCATGAAGTGTTTCGTTAGGTATGATTTGCTCATGTACGTTGCTAAAGGAATTTTTAAAATGATTTGAGAAAGCATCAACGATGTCTTGCTCCTTTCGAAGCAATGCATTATTATAGTTCATAATACAATAATAAACAATGAAATGATTCAAATGGTTTGCGAAATAAATTACCTAGTTCAAGATTTCTGCAATCGATATCATTAGGGACAGGTAATTGTATACCTTTCGCGAATTCCATATAAAGATATTACTTTTATCTCTTCCACGGGGCCCCCAACTTCACAGTTACATAAAACTCACACTTCTTATATTGTATAATTATTAATACATAAGCGTAGATACTTATATTGTGCAACTTGGAAATGATAACTAACAAATTAAGATGTGTCCTCCTTGAAGAAACCGACGGAGCACGATGTGATAGAGAGAAGGTATGTTGCAGAGATTTCCTATATTCAGCGATCATTACTCTTGTCAATGACTGTACATGTCGTCAGGTTTTTTATGTTAAAACTTCGCTACATTTTTTCGTTATCTTTTTTGAATGCAAAATGAACCCTAATATAAATATAAATATACTGCGCAGAATATGCTTACAACACTACCGTGCAATGCCTGTATCTGGGAGAGCTTTAAACTCGCGGAAATAAACCGAATTCCAACTTTGAACTCGAGAAAGTGAATGTGGATATGTAACTAAACTCGGGCAAAACGTAAATGAATTTGAGCGAAAATATTGAATCTTCTTGTGCAAAAAGTGCAGTTGCGGAAATAAATTAAAAGAAAACTTGTAAGGCGAATGTGCCAGTTCCAAGTTCACCAGCTCAGACCTTGTTTCCTCGATTTATATCAATTAATTCCAATTCTTATTATCGAATTAATCAAAATAAAGAAATGGTCTTCTGTAAGGTCATAAGTGGGTGCGGTTTTCTTTATACGTTCTCCCAAAATCAACGGTAGAAGAGCGACACATCGAAATCGGTGATTGCCAAATATTCTAGGTACACATCCATGCATGCAGTTCCTCTAAGAAACAACTAAAGCATTGATTCGAGCACAGGACCCTTCCCCATCCACTCTAGTCTCCACCATCCCGAAAAACTCACACTGCATAAAATTGGTCAAAGCTTTTAAATAAATCACGAATTCCATTTGTTATACAGCATTTATTAATCATTTTATCGGGATAGGTTTTTGTGCATCTAAACATTCCAATTGCACGCTATTTAATTTTACACGTGGATTACAGTTTGTATTACTGCATATTTACACTGTTCTAATCTTTATTAATTCGCTTTTTATACAGTGGCTGAATTTAATTTATTGCCAAATCCTGCACGATTAACAGTTATGTAAAATGCACCAGTATACATTTCCGCTATTTAGCTAACACTCTGATTCTGGAAACCTGTTTGGATTTAAAGCTGACTAGTTCATGTAGGACACCCGCTGAAATTCAATATTAATGATGTACTAGATAAAACTGATTCGACAATCAATTATTGCAAGAGATCCTGAACGTAGTGACAAAAATATTGATTTTGCATAGTCCACTGATTTACAATGGATCTGACAATTTCTTGAAAGCCAGTTCACGGTTCAAACTTTTCAAATCTCTCAGACAGAATGGGGAAATAGTGTTTAATCCCCTTATCCATCTGTTGAAAAGCACAAGTGAAATAAACTTGGGATATACTTGATGGCTTGCAACACTGTAATTTCCGGACTGCCACTTGTAATTAACTATCCAAAAATAAACTAAAAATGTAAGATTTAGGTGCAAATTAGCATATAAATGCTTTCAAAATGTAAACTATTCACCGTTGATTGATTTAGTAATGTATAGGTACCTATAATAAATTTTGCAACACATTTGACCATGCTAATTCATTTAAATTATTATCATGCCGATTTTTTAATTGTCATTTCAAAACATTTGGGTCGATAGTATCACGAACCCTATTATTTCGTTCTAAATTATTTTTCAGTGCCAGTACAATGCACAATCTCTTTAAACCAATTTCGACGATATGTATTGAACCTCGTATTGAACGCAATATTCATACTTCAAATTTTGCGATATCGTTTCAATAGTTGGCACACCTTGCCCCAGTTCCCATTAACTCATTACTGATTTAGATAAAATATTAATTAACTTAATAATCCTTTCAGTTATGCAAACAATATTTGTATGTTACAATGATTAAAACAGTTCTTTTTCTACTAAACTATATGATAATTGGAATATCTTCTAATGTAGGTCATATACATTTCAATTAATGAAGCTTGTCAAACACAAAAATAGCACGTTATTTAAGAATTGATCTTGCAGTTACTTTTCTCTGAAATCAGCTACTACATTGAACTATTTTCATACAACTATGACAATAAGTGCCCCGTAAGATTCAACAAAAAAAACGGCGAATAAATTGTTGACTGACAAAATACTTAAAACCACCCGCAATCCCTGGTAGCTTTTACGAGTATGTAAGAAAATCAACTACGTTTATAAATTTATTTCCATAAGAGTTAAGAATCTATGTAGCACTTTCCATTGGCGATATTAGGTGGACGACATACCTAAATAGATCAATATTTATTCAAATACGTCAAAAATTATTGCCCAACCATTATACTTGAATTTTCTGAAAGCTTTATCTGAAGAAAAAAGGCTACTTTAATAGTATATTATATACCGAGGGACTAAAGTGTGTGTTTTAATCCCGAGGGTGCAGATCGACGATAGCACCCCATTAATTTTAAAATTCTACTATTTTGATAAATGTTCACCTTGTAAATTGATTGGAAGTGTATGATAAATACAAGATGGCACAATGAAAACGAAACAGACTGAATACTTATAACCTTCCTATTTTCCAAAAATCTACTGCACCATTATGGATTCTACAGGTCACGTTCTATAAGAAAAATTTTGTTCCGGGACGATCTGAGACAATTTTTTTTTCGGGCCTCAAAAAAAGGCAGTGTATAACCTTCCTTTTTTCCAAAAATCGACTGCACCAAAATTTCTCGGGAAAACACTTTTTCTTTTTAATTTTGGTGCGTAGAATCCAAAACAATTCGTACTTTTTCGATCAAACTTCTCAATCAAAAGTTATAGCCTAGAAACCAATTTCGAAAGAAAATTCAAAGGGCTGTAACTTTTGAACTAGTAGCCCAATCTTGGAACTGTTTGGAATTATGGATTCTACAGGCCACGTTTTATAAGAAAAATTTTTTCCGGGTCGATCGGAGACAATTTTTTTTGCGGGCCTCAAAAAAAGGCAGTGTATAACTTTCCTTTTTTCCAAAAATCGACTGCACCAAAATTTCTCGGGAAAACACTTTTTCTTATTAATTTTGGTGCGTAGAATCCAAAACAATTCGTACTTTTTCGATCAGACTTCTCAATCAAAAGTTATAGACTAGAAACCAATTTCGAAAGAAAATTCAAAGGGCTGTAACTTTTGAACTAGTAGCCCAATATTGGAACTGTTTGAAATTATGGATTCTACAGGCCACATTCTATAAGAAAATTTTTTTTCCGGGTCGATCTGAGACAATTTTTTTCGGGGCTCAAAAAAAGGCAGTGTATAACCTTCCTTTTTTACCAAAAATCGACTGCACCAAAATTTCTCGGGAAAACACTTTTTCTTATTAATTTTGGTGCGTAGAATCCAAAACAATTCGTACTTTTTCGATCAGACTTCTCAATCAAAAGTTATAGACTAGAAACCAATTTCGAAAGAAAATTCAAAATGCTGTAACTTTTGAACTAGTAGCCGAATCTTGGAACTGTTTGAAATTATGGATTCTACAGGCCACGTTCTATAAGAAAAATTTTTTCCGGGACGATCTTTTTTCGTGGCAAAAAAAGGCAGTGTACATAACTGGTAAGGAAATAGTTTTCGGAAAAAAACGCAGAAACAAGTCGATTTTGTTTGGAAAGCGAACATCTTTTACTTAAAAATGTACAGCCCTGGTGTCACCTTCCTGAGCACGGTTGCCACCCCTTCAATAATTTTAAATTGAACGTTGGATCGAGTGACACATCATTGGAAAGGGCTATTGATTTTCTGCACGCCTCGCGCTTATATGGTTTAGTTTTCAAACTTGAACAAGTCCTTGGAAGGATACAGAATGTCAGGGAGAATTTGATTGTTCCATTTAGGGACTTCAAGTAAATTTGTCAAATTTTATTAATAGATGGCAGGACAATGACACATTAATGCGTCAATTCGGGAAGATATCCCCACAGAGAAAAGGCCTCTAGAAGGAAGAGCGACCTTCAGCTTAGGAGATCCGACTTTCCTACACTTATCCTCTTAACGTAAACTTCCGTCCAAACCTGAATAACCGAAACCAAACTGTAAAGTAAAGTTGTCGAGGAGAGGTATAGTTAATGTGCAAACACTGGCATATTTATACTTAATTAAAACCGGAATAAATCGACTATAAGGTACTACCGTTGAGTGAAGGATCTACCGTTGAGTGAAGGATCTAGCCTTCACTCAACGGTACTACTAAGCTAGAAGTGCATACACTGGTTTTTAGCTCGGTTTATAGGTTCTGATAAATCTCAAGTTTATTAAATATTAAAGTAATCCTTCATTTGGACACGTATTTCGTGGATCGGAATAGTTTGAAACAAACCCTTGTTATAACTGGGCCAAATTAAGTCTGAATTTATTATTTGCATATTCAAGGTTTCCTAGATTCCAAATTTCATCAATATCGGATTTCTTGGCACTCATATTTAAGGGTGCGCTATCTTAGGGCTGTGTTATGGTTTCAGAAAAAAGAATTAAGACGAAACAGAGACTTTGGGGGGCCCCTCCAAAACAAGACCTGAAACCTGTAATGTATGGGGGATTTCAATATAGAAATGTTAGTTTAAGATAGCTCAGTAGAGCTCCTACAAAAGGTACCAGTGTTTTCCTAAAAATGATGATCGGGTATTGGGATTAATAAAACAATTTCATATACCTACATTTATATTTCTTAACTACCTATATACAATTTTCTGCATTCTACGTAATGCTATTTATATATGTGCAAAAAGGAATGTGAATTACGAAATTAATTAATAATGGCGATGGCCGTTGTGGTGGCCAAACGGGGTAAACGCAAGGCGACCTTGCAGATCCGAGTGCGAGCCATGGCCCGCTCGGGTAACATGGGCGTTGAATCCATTGTGACCGTCTGCTGTGTACTGCACTGTCCGAATGGAACCGTCGGCTTCGTGCAACGAGTACTGTCCACGCACGGAGTCCCCATCACGTATCTCGTGTTGACTTTTGCGATCTCCGGTGCGTCCATCGGCCACGTTGTAGTTGAACTCGTACCTGGGATGTGCCTAAATTCGTTGCTTGTCAGTCAGTAGGTACAAGTCGAAAATTTCGCCACTTACGTAATAGTCGGTCGGATGCCCTACGTGACCATGGTTACCCAAGTAAGACGAAGCGTGCCCTGCATGATGCTGACCAAAGGCGACCGCAAAGCAGCTGACCAATGCGAGTTTCTGAAAGGAATACTTGTACATCAACTTATGAAGGTCTCTAAACAGATGCTTACAAAGAACATGACTAGGAAGATTGGAGAACTTGAGCGAACTGACCATTGCAATCACATGCACACATATTTATACTGAAACAATTACTTTCATTACACGCTCATATGACAAAGGTAATCCATTAATTCATAATCTGTAAAATGACATTATGCAAATTGTAATAAGAGAACCGTGCAATCTTCTCATATGACACAGAGAAAGGCGCTGCAGGTAAATAAGGAAATTGAATCTTATGGGCGTCGAAAATCAGTGCAAAGTAAGGTAAAACCCAAAAAAAGAGATCAATACACGCATAAATTGATATCCATAATTGAATCACCTTCGTTTGAATTACGCCCGTGCTGATGGTGTATAAAAATTTGGAGGATAAGTTAATAATAACAACATTTATCTCAAATATATTATTAAATAATAAATTGCAATGTCTTTTAGTGTTAGGTATTTCAAAAAAATATCAAACCTTTGGCGACTTTCTTCAGAAATCCTCATCATACATTTCTCCACAGATTTTCTGTTTTATTTCAGAGATTCTCAACAAAGGTTCGCCAGGGAATCGTTAGATGCTCAAATAAGATGTTTATCAATCCTTAAAGGATTCTGTAAGGCACTAGGAACTATCTCGGATACATTTTTTGTTGTTTAGAAACTTTGAATATATATATTCTTTGGAAAATTTCTGGACTTTGTTTAGAGATTCTAGAAATATCCTGCAGGTATCACCATTGGCAGGATTTCCAGAAATTCTTCATTATTTGCCATATTTTAGGAATTCTCAACAAAGGTTTTCCGGAGATTCGTCAGATGTTGCGATTTGAGATGTTTTTGGACTTGCAGATTCTATAAATATTCTACAGGTATTCGCAAGGATGTTTTCACTCACTGAGGTTCCATCAAAAGATCCTTGTAGATTCTTCACATTTTTTGCGGTTACCTTAATTGCTATGTGCAATGGCAAAAGGTCTTTAAATCACCCACAAGTACTTGTCCAGTTAAACAAGGTACTAACAAGATCTCTTATACGAAATGATTATAATTTTTCGGGGGCACTTTCAGTATCCGCTTTACCCTCTAAGAAAAAAGAATTTGGAACAGTATCCGTGTGGGATTACTGCGGTTTTAGGCAATCTGCAAGATGAGAAAGTGTTTTAGTCTCACCAGACATAGAACTACTAACAGAAATTAAGCTTCGTAATTATCTTAATTCCCAACATTATTTTTGAAATGCCCATAAATCGCGACTCAATTAATTAGATAATTCCACCGAGCATTTGCATTAAGTAAATCAAAAGTCTTCGTTTTTATACCGACGTTTCAATCTTCTTACATAACGTCGCTCGCTTTACTAATTACTTTCAATTTGCCGCCGGTAATCAGAAGATTATTTTCCTTTTAGATATGTATCTCCACTACCTACCTATTGCTGTCTTTCCAGAACACGTGTACATCAAGAGTCCACCTAAAACTTTATAAAAGTAAGATATGGTAATTAATTCTCTCGAGAAATATGCAAAATCGTTTTTCCTACCTTAGGGGCCGTACTTCCTGCGTTTATTAAGTAATTTATTCAAGACCGAGTTTTAACTTTGGTATTAGATTTGCCATTGACCCATCTCTGAACGGGTGTACGAGTAATGAGGGCTGTTTTGTAACTACTTTGTACGAACGAGGGCACAATGTTAATGGTGGAGCCTTTCCTGATACAACAAAAGTTGCGTGTGCTGCCAATTTCTCTGTGGTTTATATACTTTTGGTGTTACATTATATGTATTTGTTTGTTATATTTTTCTGGAAGATAATGCCAATCCTTTTTGTTTCAGGTGAGGGTCCCGATTTTGTTAAAATTGCGGAATTTGGTGAGTCCAGCATTCTTTTATGGTTAATATGGCTCGTCGTTATCTTTTCCTATAAGGGCACATTTACATAATCTATAAATATGTATTTTAAAACAATTGTAGAATACAAGTAGGTATTTTAGATAAGTAAATATTACAACTAATGGCGTTACAAAGTACAGAGTACTGGTTGAATGTTTTATGTACTAAATTTCGAAAATTCTTGCCAGAGACGGTTTGCTATAGCAGCACCTTCCTCAATTAAGTGTTCTAACTCAAAGATTCAACCCTTACTTTGTGTTGATTTGTAGTACCAGATTTGCATCTGAGTTCAAGTTCAATAGAACTTACGCCTTAAGCTGAAACTGCGAGAGTCTATAATTGTTAATGAGTGTAAATTTACATTCATTTGGCTCCTAGCGAGTTCATGACTTTCTGTCCGTCCGTCCTTCCGTCTGTGGGTAAGATAAGTCCTGAACGGTTTGGAATTTTCCAATTCTGTTTTCATTATTTTGTTTTATCATCACCCAAGAAAGTACTGATTAAATGTTCAGTGACCCAGGAGCTCGTTGGCTATATTTTGTTACAAGTTTATTTGTATAATAAAGACCTTAGAGCACATATGATCTCTTAATTTAGATTAATCCTACTATTCAAAATTTAATGGCATTTCAGATTTCAAAAGGTATAACAAGAAAATAATGTTTAATAAAATAAACTTGTAACAGATGCAGCAAACGAGCTCCTGGGTCACTGAACATTTAATCAGTTCTTCCTTGGGTGATGATAAACAAAATACTGAAAACAGAATTGGAAAATTCAGACAGACGGACGGACAGAAAGTTCAAATAATGAACTCGCTAGGAACTCGTTAATAAGTAGAATCTTAAAAAAGTTGACCGAGTAAAAGTAAGGCATGGGGCGATCCATAAAAATAATAGCAAAAAAGCCGATTCCTTAATTTACCCTCAAATCCATTTGAGGACTCGGATCGATATAAAACTGGGTTTTAGCCACCAGAAATTAAATTCAATAGGTTACAGTCAATAAATGGATTTTTAAGGAACTAAAGTCTATAGCCTTACGTTCCAAATCACTTAAAAAAGAATTTTTCAACTTCCAAAATGTGTGGCGATGATGGAATTATATTGTTAGTATATACTGAAAAAATCGCTTGTATTTTATAACTAAATTTGGCCCTGTAGAATCGAAAAGGTTTAAATTTGTGAAAATCCAATGACTGTCTCAAAGGTGACATCATTAACACTATCCAACTAAGTTATGTCCTTTACTATTCTAATATATTTAGTTCGTTCTTTTTTAATTCGGTAGCTCTGGCACCTGAACCAAGAAAAGTCTTGCGGTAACTCTTATTTACAGAAATATCTTTTTTTTAATTTTAATTACAGAGGCTTATAGTAACGGCAAACACATCGCGTATTGTAAACACCGAGCGTGCGCATTCGAAGTCGAATATTGTAAAAATAAGTGTACGCATGCGCAACTGCACAAAACCAATTTTTTTGTTTATTTCTTGAACGTTTTTTAACCATAGATGCTATTAATAAAGAAATGCATAGCGCACATACCTATGGCATTTAGGTCTGACTAAAGCATGGAAAATGCGCGGAAATTAGTCGCCTCAGAGCGAAAACCTTTTTACTTATAATAAAACCGTCTTGTTCCCAAAATCTATCGAAGATTTATTTTTATCTCAGATCGACTGAGAGCCCGATCTGTTCAAATTGGAAAGTATCAATTTCCAATCAATAGTTATACCAAAATAAGAACTTTTGATAAAGCAAAGTGCGCTACTTTCAAGATCGTATTAAAGAGGACGTGTTATAAATGATTTTCGCCTCTATAATCAAAAAATTTAAATTTGCGGCAATCCAATAACTACAAAAAGTGATATAGTCAAGCCAAGAAATCATTTTTTATTGAACCGAAGTGTGTAGTCTTACCTTTAACAAGGTTCAGCCTACATATCGATAGAAAATGGAAACTTCTCAATAGACTTATCCCTGTATAATTACAGAAACAATTTGCGACAATAATTCTAATACTCGTACGTGATATTGTAACAAATAGATAGAGAGAAGATTGTTGTTTGCTATATAAGCAAATTGAATAGTGTTTCAAGTCAGTTTCAACGTCGATGCACTTGTGTTATGTTATAAATTGTGAATGAAAAATAATGAATACTAATTAATTGTTATAGATTAATTTCAAGCCTAATAAATTTGTTGTAATTAATTGTAAATAAATAAATCATGTAACTAAATTTACGTTATCATAAAAAAATTGAATAAAATAAAGTTTATATGCCCACCTTTCAAATATATCGAAGATTAATACGTCTTCTATCGACCGGGAACCGGCTTTCTTTTAAATTTTGGTCTTTAGCTTCAACAAAGTTGAATATGTCCCGACCAGAACTATATAGGTTTTTCAATGGAGACTTTATTGTTTCCTGTCAGAATTGTATTAATTCAAGGTGTCTTTTTTGATATTTTATTAGTGATAACGAGTACATTTTGTCGAAAACTGTATTACAGGTGTAAGCCCATTACCAAAATTGGCGCTCTGTTTCGTAAAAATGTGTCTTTGATCTTTTACTGAATAAATTTGGGTCGATTAGTTCACTACACAACATCATCTTAACGTATTGGTATATGATCTTGGTGGATGTTTATCATTTTTCATTCTAATTATAGTAACATAAATTTAAATTAGCTATAGTGTATCGTAAATTTAATTACGTTATTTATTTATTTAATATTAATTATTAATGAATTTATATCAGATTTGTAGACAAATTATGACAGGTAAATTTATCACATACAAACGCGAAATCACTACTCGTATACTGAACATCTAAACTTCGCCCTTTTAGGCTTTCTAGTAACAATGTAGTTTTTTTACCGTTGTATCTTGCTTTATGTTTATTTTAGAAGTCTAATAAACCGCACTTATTATTATTATCATTTCAGCGTTGATGTTGGAGGTGCCATTAAACAATTTGCAAAAATATTAGAGCAAATGGAAAGTTTCGAAGCGTTCTCGCGATATTTTAAGGAAAGAATGCGTGGTATCCGCTTTTATTCCTTATCTCCGGTGGCCTTTTATCAAGTTCATGGCGCCCCGATGTCTGGGAGACTCGCTACAACAGCCTAAATTATGTGTTCTTCTTTTAAAAACCATAAATTATTAAAGGTTGGTGTTATACGTGCTGAAGATCAAGTGAAACTACATTCTGTATTTTGTTAGACAATGCAAAGGAGATCTCTGTTTCATTTTCTTCTTAAATATGTCTGTACGTTTTACTTCCTTCTCGAACTTTGCTTTATGTAGACGCTGAATTGCACAATTACGTCAATGCTGAAAAGGCATTAAAGACCACGGGGCGGTTTTTTATATCACACCATGCGAGTCTACCTCAAGCCAGAAAGTATTTTGATTAGGAATTCTGGATTAACATAAAGGGCAAAAGTGATTAATATTTTTATTGGAAGATCGTGCTGTATATTTTACAAAAAGAAAGATACGCACACATGTATATACAACAGGTAACAATAAAACGATAATGAAGAATGAAATTGGCGAGATGAGATCGGTGACGCTTAGTAGTGGCCCAATTTTCCGTAAGCTTGGGGATGAGAAGCGTGTCCGGATCGGATAACTTGGGCATTGAATCCATTCTTGCCGTCAGCTGTGTATTTTACTGTACGAATTGTACCGTCGGCTTCGTGAAGGGAGTACTCTCCATGGACGGAATCGCCGTCACGTGCTTCATGTTGACTCTTGATGTCACCGGTGTGACCGTCCTTCACTCCATAGTTAAATTCGTACTTAGGGTGAGCCTGGAAAGAGATTGGGTAATTGCTTGGGATTGTGAAGGACGCTTACATAGTAGTCTTGGTGGTCTGCATGTCCATAACTTGCGGTAAGGGGTGCAGAATGAAGGGCGAGTGGGGCCGAGTGAAGGGCTATTGGTGCCGCTGCGTAGTGTCCACCACCACCTAACACAAGGGAGGCGTAGGACTGTGCACCCCCATGTCCCCCATATCCATGTTGTCCGTACACCACCGCCACTACGCAACTGATCACTGCTATCCTCTGCAAAAAAACTAAATTAACCCTCGATTGACACCCCTCTAGATACATACGAAGAACATTATTTTGATTGTGTGCAAGGAATTGAACTGAAATTTGTTACAAATTCCGTTTTATTTATACTAAAAGTGAGTCGCTTACTTTCCTTAAGAGCACAACGCCTTTTACACATTTAGAGAAATCTGTATCAGTCATTTTAGGTATGCGCTGTACTGACGTAATTACATACTTTTTTTGTAATTACACAGCCATTCGAATATTATCTAATAATAATTACTTATGTATCTGGAACCTTGTTGTACTATCAAAACATAAACAATTTATTCAATTTTGTCAATTAGAAAATTGCGTAAATTATTGTTGCGTGAAATCTATACATACCTATATAAATTAATTTCTATAAGTTTACATAATCTCACCATATCGCAAGCCGAGTGAGTTTTGCTATTATTATTAAGGTTGCAAAGGAAATTTAAAATTCAAATTAGGGCGTTGTACTTTTAACAATCGCCGCACTAATTAGCAAACTTTTTCGTTGTTGTCTATCAAACAAGTTTGTTGTGGACCTTTGACAAATAGGCTTATGAACGTTTTGTGTAAATACAGGTCAAAGGCATTTAACGTTTTTACCACCTTGCAAGAAAGGGGTCCATAACCGACGACCAATTTATACAGTCTCCATTGCGTAAACGGTGGGCAAACGGAAATTAAGTTCAGACTGAGGTCGATTGACGATCTACTTTTGACTAATTTTTTATCGACGGTCCGCCCGCATAGGAAACAGAAATGTAGGCCGAATTTTGAAACCTTAATTATAACCAATTACCGCGATTAGCGATTTTAAATGATACAAATTAGAAAAAAAAATTTTCGTGTCTGATTTATTACGTGAAAAATCCTCGGCGAGCAATAAATTTATATATATTTACGAAATGAAACCACGAGCTGCATGTATAACTTATGCAATAAATGTAAATTTAACTGGAGCACAAATTAACGAACTCGACTTGCACAAATCGCCATAAAATAGAAAAACTATTTGGAAAAGTTGTAAATTAGATCGGAATTTTATCATTTTAATGACTTTGAATTGATGCACGTCCGTCTACTCAACAAATCGGATTGTTGTGATTATGCTACTTGTTGCACGACGCTTCTTCTTCAGCCCTCCAGACTCATTTGAATATGTGAGAAATTAGTTTAAATCTACTCCTACATAATTGGATGTGTGCTATTTAAATTGAAACCGGCAACTTAGATTTCTTGCAGTTTGTTTTTTAGTGTGTTATGTAACTAATAAGGTGTGTTTGTGTACTTTTTTTAATAATCATCTGGTAACGTTGCTATAAATTACCCACCCACAGTTGTAGGTATCATTTGTTTATTCTAACAGCAATTGTATAAGTATAAAGATTGGAAAGAATTTCAATATTCCAGAAATTCGGATAGCGCAGTCATCGGCGACGTGTTTTAGAACATTCCGAATCGTTCTAAGAACAACCTAGAACCATTGTCCTTTACTATATAAGTAATTTGTAGCGTATTTCAGGGCAGTTCCAATTTCGATGCGCTTGTGTTATGTACAAAACGTGAACAATATTTTAAATTAGCCATCATCATTTTTTTCATAGGAGGAGGGCGGACATGGCCCTAGTAGAATTTGTCGCAGAAGTAATAGCCACCTCTCCCACGAAACACGCGCAAGAATTCAAGTCCAGGAAATTCCGTCCGGTATTTCTTTGGGAGCAAGTAATTTTAGATTCCAAAGTTGGAACGGCGAATGAGCAAATGCGAATTTATCTGCATTTTTTTGGATGGAGAGATAGTTTGGAAAAGGAAAATTTTCCGAGGTTTAGTCAATGCGTTTGGCTAATCTTGGGTTGACTGTAGTGGTTCGGGAAAAGTGAAAAAACAGACTTAACCGCTAAAAAGTGGCTTGCACACAAGTTACTGCTAACATTTTTATCGTAATTAGGGGAGATTTTGAAACATAATTGATATCGAAAAACATGACGATTAAGTAACGGCGGCAAACTGTTACGAATATCTAAAAACGGTGTACGAGCAAACAAAATTAGAATAACTTAATTTGTACGAGATCGGCCGTCTCGAAATTTCGATTAAGCGATTACTGTCAATGCTAATAAAATTTGTAATTAAGAAGATGCTACAATTAACTTAATAACTTTCAAAGCGGATGGATTTAGAGCAAAAAGTTAATACTCTCTTAACATGATAATCGTGTTTCTATAACGGAGAGAAATATAAGAGGGCTGAAATTTCCGCAGGCTGCAGATCTTTTTTCTTTTCGGAAGTTCTTAGTTTATTCTTCTCTCTTAAATCTGGAGGGTTTGCGAAACTTTGCGGGGCTTTCTTGCGCGTTTACAATTAAAATAACAACGAAAACAAATCGTCGTCAAGCTAAATGATTACCATTGCCGTCTGCAACAGTAAAAGCGTTTACGGAATTGTATAATAGGATGTGTTTGTTCCCGAACTACTTCAGTATGCAGGAATAGTTCTCGATGTTTTGCTGCTTCCGCCTTTTTGATTCAACTTGAAAGTGTAATAAAGACAGCACCTTTCTTTATCAGTTCGAGGCAATTGTCCATACGACCATTTGCAATCATGCAAACACATTCAAAATGTCGCTTACACATTTACACACATTTTTTTTTATTGCCTTTATTTTATAGTGGGCGGAGTGTTAGCAATTTGCTATTCTTCGTCTTCCCACTCAATCCACTATACAATCACAAACAGCCATGCCTTACCTGGGATTCGAACCCAGGACCCTTGTAGCCAAAGTTAGAGCTTCTAACGTATGCTCATCTGAGCTTTTTTTTGTTAGTGGGGGGGGGGGGGGGGTAACCATGCTAAACAAATCTGTAGATAAAGGTCGATTGCATCAGGTCAAGACTCCCCAAACTATTTTTTATAATAATTTGTATTGGAGGGTACACTATTTGGCAGCGGGTAAGACGATATCGTCTCTGAGGGACTGAAACGGAGCTGCCCCTATAGATTAGTAAGCGTAAATTGGGAAATGCAGGGGAGACAGTATAAACGGAGGAAAATTGGAGGAAGTCAAGCGAATGCTTGCCCAATTAAATACGATATTAACGCCAATGGAGGCCAAACTAGATAGTAACCCAGAGGCCATAAAGGATCTGAGGAAGAATCGATGCGTTGGAAAGAGAGATCAGAAGAAGTAATATCGTAATCCAAGGGATACAGGAGAGAAACGAGGAAGCGTCAGAGGACACGGAAAGCAAGATACAAGAAATCCTGGAAAAAATGGAGTAGAAGTATTACATACTTACATTACATACAGACTGTATACATTAATCTTGCCCCTTGCTCTTAGTACCCGCATTGCATCCAGGAAGGGACTGAGTGTCTTAAGATTGAGGGTTTGATTGGTATCCGTTAACAGCTTGGCCGCCAGTACTGACCCAATGAGCTCCACCCGCGGTAGGGTTTTCTTCAACTTCATGGAGCCACCTTATAGAGGTTTTTATTTGTTCATTTACCCACAAATCTTCTTGTATTTTTGGGGACCAGTTAGCATCATCTCGATCTGGCTTTTTACCGAACTGGAAGTGGCTTAGGCCTCAAACACCACTCTTAATGTTGCACTGAAGCATTCTCAATCTCCATATTTTGGGCGCTTGAATTCACTTCAAAATGTAAATCGGTGGGGGTTTTTATATATCTCAATACAGTTCGTTACCGAAAATTCGAAGTTGGTAACCAGACCTGGGTACTGCTCGCGAGTATTTCGCTTGAAAAAGCGCTCCAAGCGGAAAAATCTTTTCGTAGCGCTTTTATTTTCCGAATCATTAGGCGAGGAAATTATTTAAAAGATGTCCAAATTCATCTACTCAGATTTTGACATTTATTCACGTATGTAGAACTTGTACACTAAAACAATATTCACTTGTCTGTCAGTCTTTCTGTCCATCTGTCAGTCTATCAGTTTGTCAGTCTGGGGATCTGTTTGTCTCTTTGTCTGACTGAGTGTGAGCATTCTAGTGCGGAGGAAGCGCTCGGGGGCGGTTTTTCCGCCCCTGAGCGCCTTTTCCGCTCGCGAGTGCCTTGTCCGCTCCCGAGCGTTTTCCGCCCCTGAGTACATTTTCCGCCTTTGAGCGTTTTTCCGCTTACGAGAACTTTTCCCGAGCGCTCGCGATAAACCGCTCGAGTAGTTTTAGGAGTGCTCGGAACTGGCAAACGGTTTCGCTTTGCAAAACAGCTGGATGCTTAGTACCGTTTTAGTGACTTTGAAGTACTTCCTACTAGAAACGTAGTATACACATTTCCTTGTTATAAAAATGACATAAAAAAGAAGCATTGAAGATACTGCAAACAAGGTGATAGGAAGAAAAGTAGGAGAGAAAAAGAATCAGTGGTTTGACACTGCATGCGAAACAATGATCATGAACAAGAAGGACTTGCATGGCTAAAAACAATAAAGGACGAGAACCATAAAGAGTATCAAGAAGCCAGGAAAAAGTGTAGAAAACTAATCAAAAGGAAAAAGGAGAAATGGATAAGGAAAACAATGGAAACTGAAAAAGGAGCATTTATAGTGCTGTGAAGTGCAGTAAACAATACATAAAACACCAAAAACCTAACCTAGTTCTATAATTCAATCTCTCCCAGCACACATTCGTATCCCGGCACAATAAAAAATCCAATTCTGACTTGAAATTTCAGATTCCAAACAAACAATGGTCATGATCAAACCCTTTAGACTCCAAAAGGATCACTTACCAACTTTTGAAGACACTTGAATTGAACTTTGGGCTCAAATCAACAAAATTGATCCTAGTTATGCATGAGACATCTATCTGAATCGTTAAAGGGATCGAATACACACACAATTTTTATTAAACTTTAACCTCGACCTTGGCCTGACCCTTGATTACTACATGCTAGCTTCTCTTTGACGATCATTGAATTTGTTTAAACGTTCTTTGAATCTGTCACGAATGAATTAACAAAACAAAATGAGATAAAAATTTTCCTACCCTTAATAATTAGGAACTAATCCTTTTTACAACGAAAACAATAAATAAACACCTTGTTTGCAGTGTAGATATGCAAAATCGTTTTGTGTTTATCCGTAAGGAATCTCATGAGATTAATTAAATAAATTGAAATGAGGATTTAAACGACCCACATTCACTTCAAGTCCAAACCCCAAACCCACATTGGTTACATTAATAGCAATAGATATATTTAAAAAAGACAAACCAGAATGGAAATACGGTAAAAATATGGGGCGAAAAAACACTTCAAAAGTCTACAAACGTAGAGGGCAAAGGGGACAAACAGATCGAAGGGCCGGGACAAATGCGATCAAGTGAGGAGTGATTGCCACTTTCAAGTTAAACAAGGCAGGATGAAGGGACAATATCGTAAACGAAATAATCAAACATATCGGAAACCATTTAATTATTTAAAACAAATACAATATCATTTAATATTCCATATTGCATGGCTAGCGAATGAAAAAGGGGGACATTAGTGCTATTACTGAAGAAAGGCGATCCAAGGAGATTACCAACAAGAATTTAGGAAGGGCAGATACTCTACGTTGATTTCAAACAAGCCGTTGACAGCCTAAAGCGAGAAGGCATGAATAAAATGGAAATTCCGCAAAAAATATGATTGCCTGAAACTACAATGAGCATAAGCAGGCCCACCACCGAGGGTTACAGCAGCGGAATTTTTGAAAGGAGAATACTAAGATGAATTTTTGGGCGGGAGAAAGTTGCAGAAGGAATATTTTGAAGATTTTTAGTGGAGAAGAAAGCAAAAACTGTAAAGGTAAAAAATGCGCTGGTATTGTATTTAAGAAAAATGAGGAACCACAAAGAGGTGAAAAATGTTATCGCGTAGAGACCCAACACGAAGGGAAGACCAAAGTGTGTAGGTCGGAGGATCAAGTGATTAAGGACATAGCAAGCTTGAGAATTACAAAGTAGAAGGAGAAGATATAGAACCGGAAAACTTGGAGGAAGATAACAGAAGAAACCAAGACAAGCAACAAGTTACACGGGAAGTAACTCACCACACTCAAGAAGTTTTCCGATGATTGCAATCCCAAATGGGTTGTATAGCCAATTATATATACAGAGTGGCCCAACGAGAAGTATACAGAGGGCTTTTAGGGTATTAAATTTAGAAATTTCGAAAAATCCTCGAACACGTCAATTTTGTATTCGAGGGGGACAACTTTTAGAATACAAATCACGAACCCAAGTCTTCACCCCTCTACGTAGGGAGCTTAACCCCTAAAATTTTAAATGGAATCCTATGGCAAATGGCACATTATTTGAAAGCCAATTTAATCGTGATTACTAATCTGCTTTGCTTTTTAAATTCTATTGATTCGTTTCGGGGATATTCGCATTTGAAGTGTTTTTTTCCCCTGATTTAAGTCCTTTAGATTACTTCTTGTGGGGATATTTAAAAAATAAAGTTTATGCTACTCCGCACGGAACATTACAAGGGTTGGGAGCACGTATAACCATAGTGTAAGAATGTAACATGTAACACTATGGTATAACTCAACAATTTCGAGCGATTACCCCTGAAATCTTGCAACATCTACGGCAGCGTTTTGAAGCAAATCTTTATTATTGCATGGAAGCAGGCGGAAGGCAATTCGAGCATTTATTGAAATAAATGTTGTCTGTTTAAAGTTATTTATTATTTTTTGCACAATTTAAACCTTTTTTTAATACAAGGTGACTTAGATCGCATTTGTTTTGGTTTTTTTAGAAAAAAAACCATTTCAAATGCGAATTATCTCCGAAACGAATCAACAGAATTTAAAAAGCAAAGCAGATTAGTAATCACGATTAAATTGGCTTTCAAATAATGTGCCATTTGCCATAGGAGTCCATTTAAAATTTTAGGGGTTAAGCTCCCTACGTAGAGGAGTGAAGACTTGGGTTCGTGATTTGTATTCCAAAAGTTGTCCCCCTCGAATACAAAATTGACGTGTTCGAGGATTTTTCGAAATTTATACGTTTAATACCCTAAAAGCCCTCTGTATACTTCTCGTTGGGCCACTCTGTATAATTAATTCATTATAAGTACACTTTGAATGAACGCAACCATTTGACTCAGGCTATACACAGCAGTTATTTTCTAAACTTGAATTTCCTTGGAGTGGGTTCCTTGCAAGAGAGCTCTCATGCTTCCATTGGAGGTATCTTCGGAATTTTTTAAGGCTGTATCTATTTTAATAATGTAGACATAGCGCTTTTCGGCAGCAATTTAAACTTTCTGGACATTTAATGTAAGTGTCCCTCAAACATGGTGGAAATCAATACAATTCAGGACCGCGCCTGGAGAAAGCTTGTTGCATTGCACTATATTTCCATCTCAGATTTCTATAAGGGTTGCAATCTTTGAAATAGACGGAGCAAGCAGATTTTTCCCTATGACTAAAGTTATAGAAAGAGATACTAGAGCAATTACGGCGAAAATCGGGCAATCAGCAGAAACCTACAATGGAAAAGAAATGTCAAAGGATAAGCAAATATTTTAACGAATCTAAATTGTTCAATACCACCCCTCTCGCTTTTCGTTTGTTACAGTAACCGTAAACGAATCTCATAATTGGATCAAATCAGAATTAATCAAATTGCCTCGGGGCAGTAAGCGTCGGCAATTCATCACTTTGAAATTCATTAAAAACGTTGTAAAATGCCCGAATTTAACCACGCGCCATTTTAAAAACTGGTCTACAATATAAAGAATAACTAAACAAGGGGTTACGCAATGAAAGCCAAATTATATCTCGCGGTCTCGTGGAAACAAAATTGAATCGGCCACTAAATTGCTTGCATTCATAATTCGGTTAACGGATGTATATTCCAAAAAGCGTTTAACTAAATTTGAGGGGTCCCTCACGTTAACATTGCAATTAATACCGGGCGATTTCCCTAACGGTGTGTATAAAAAAAAAGAAAACTTTTCTATTTACTGTATAAAAAGCCACTTATCAGAAGAACGCAGGAGAAACGAAATAACTTTTAAAATCCTTTCTAGAATTGGTAGCCTACAAAATTCCATTCTCCCGAATTGAGGGTAAAAAGGATGAATATCCCCCTGAAAAAACAATCTATATTTCATTTGCAGTCCGCGTTATTGAATCCACAAAAACGGAACTGCAATAGATATGAAAAACGACATGTATGGGCACATGCGCGCGTTCATCCCCAACATTGACTATTCGCAAGAAAACTAAAGTATTAAAGGGATCATACGTTTTCACTTCCTCCCCTTTTCGTGTGTTATTCATTTTTATACGTAGTTTGTACAATTGACAATTTATTATTTAGGGACCACTCACTTCTCATAGCTCGGCTTTCTTTTGGCTTCGCCTTTACATTCACTAGATACTCTACTTATTTTGCCAGTGTCATGTTCTTATTTAAAGTAGTTCGGCGATCATGTGTTGTATAACTACTAATTTAAGTCCAATTAGTTAATGGTAACGCGATAAATAGACAGAATCGGTTCGACCAGATGAAAATTACGCACACATTGTGGAATTGCGTTAATTATCACCTAATTGTATACAATTTAGATTTTGTGGCCACGACTGTGCAAAGGAATTTAGTTACTGTTTAAACATAATCTTGCGAAATGCATAAAATGATTGCATAGTACTTTAGACGTATTTGGCAAAGCCCGGTCATAAACAAAAAAATAAATAAATTAGAGTTAAATCAAAGCCTGTAATTTATTGCCCAAGTTTTTGGAAAGGAAATCGTTAGCAGAAATTGGCATGCAAGTTCGCAATAACAATCACATGCCTTGTTATAGTAGTCAAATAAACTGACAGCCGATTTGAACCAATACAAACTTCCGGAAAAATTTACAGAAGATGGGTACGCCTGGGGGTTTTGTGGAAAGTTTATGGAATTTTACAGACGATTGCACTAGGAAGTAATTACATAAGGGTATTTTTTTTCTGCAAAACCCACACCTTTTTACCTACAGGCGTAAATCTCGCGAAAGACTCGCTATCAAAATTATTCCTCCCACACAACTAATTGAGTTTCGTCTCGTCTGATAATTTTTGAAAGCCGATCTAACCTTATTTGTTGGTTACGAAATTGTGGCTACGTGTAACCCAGGCCGAGTAGGGGGTTCTTGGGATTCTTGCCCTCCAGGTTTCGTGACGGCATGTTGGCACGGTTTGGTGAAAAAAAGTTCGTATAAATCGTGACTCCAAGCAAAGCAGCTGCAATTTCGCGATAGTAGTACTCGAGATCGTTATTTTAATTTTGCCCCAAGTTCTTGAAAATTCACGAAAATGCACGCGTTTTTATCGCTTTTTATTTACAGGCATACTATTGTTCACGTTCGCTGAGTAGCGGTATATGTGTAAATTTTTCTATGTTGAAAAGGAAAACTAATTAAAAACCAAATTCGTGAAAACGGCACAACGACCACCTGTTACAGCTTAATAATAATGATGTTTTAAACCAATTAGCATACAGTTTAATACACTTAACAAAGAGAGAAAACTGAACTAAAATGTACTACAAAAAAACATTTTTGAAATGTGTAGGAAGCTCTGGAAAGTTGTATAGTTATAACTCATAATTATAATATGTTCATTTACATTCAACCCCTTCTATCTCTTAGATGGAAGCTCATTATAGGTAAACTATATTAAGGGTTGCGCAAACGAGATTCAAAATTTGACAGTTTGGTGGTACCCTCCCCCATTGTTGGCTAACATTTTAGTGCACCTGATTTATATGCTTGCGTGTTACCCAGTACACCCAGATCGAAAGATAATAAGCTCGCCAGGCTACAAAATCTAACAGCAGTATAGAACATGAAAATTGATACAGTCCGGCTTACGTAACTGATTGTGTCCGTGTAACTCAACACTTCCACCACTTCCGTTACGAAAGCGGATTAAACATTGGTGCGACAGGTGTAATTAATCTCGACCGATATAGCCACCTCGTTACTTTGTATTGTAGTACATCACAAATAAAATGTCTGCGGTTAAAATCATTACATATTTCTGTCAATAGCGCTTTAGCAAGTGAAGTATATATGTATTAACCTATTTGTTATTCACGCAAGACGGAATATACATAAACATCATCCACGGTATTGTGCAAACGTGTATATACCAACTTTATTTTTCAGTTTCGCAGATATTTCCTCGCACCGAGGAATTTCTATTCATGATACATCGTTATACGGTTATATTTGTTCGCGGTACTTCAAAAAATTTGAATATTGTAATAAAGTATAAAATATAGATTTATGGAAGTTACTTCTTCATACAAACAAAATTTATGCTGTAGGTACGTTCTTAGGAGATGTATAGGTTGGAATTTCTTATTGAATTTTTATACACCGCGAAACTCCGTAATTTGTTTCAATTTGTTATTAGTACTGTACCTACTAATGAGGCAAAATGCTTTCGGTTCTAGTGAATTGGTCTCATGCATTTATGTATTAACAAATTCCTAAAAAGTTTGATAAAATAGCGTGATGCTTTGCGCCTTTCCATAGCACGTAAGCCTTGTTTGTGTAAATCAAGGAAGAAGCGAAAATGGAAGCGTGAAGTTTCAAGAGCATCTTTAATTGAAGTTTGTTTTTTTTTGTGCGGCATCTGAAGTGAATCGCAAATGACCAGATATTGAGGATTATTAACTTTAAGGTAATTAAAGCTTTATGTAAATTTAACTTGTTTCAATCAGACGATGTGCATGGTATTTGTCATCTGACCCTGAGTGCCTCGCTCCCATCTTCGGATTGCTTGAATCTAGAGAAACGACGAATACATGGTTGTGTAAACTACAAGAAGTCGATGAAGTACTCATTTCTGAACAGGTTTCGGTTAAAAATAAAAATAAATGCCCCACTACAACGAGTTCCCTTAAATAAATGTTAAATATCACTGAGCCTACAGAGAAAATTGTAGTCCATAAAGCATTGTTAAGGAATGACAACGAAAGACAATGTTGACGCAAGAAAAGTAAAATGACTTCACAAAAACCTTGAGTAAAGATATTAAAAAGTCTGTATTCCGTTGATTTGAACGCATAAAACAATAGCAGAAGACAATTCATGTTAGAATATTGAATTTTATACGAAGAACTGGTGCATATCCATCATTTTGTTTCATTTGATTAATGAAGGGTTGCGTACAGTCGTACAGATTTAACACACAAACATAATGGTTCTAGATAAAAGGGCCAATCAAATTGCTGTATGTCAGTATAAATATGCGTATATTGCTGATATACACAAAAATGGAGAAGTTCGTTGAAAGAGCCTCATTATCTCGAGATACGAAAAAATTCGTGCGATATAATATTTAAAAGACATGAAACCTAGCATCCCGTGTGCTGTCAGGATGCGCGGTATCTGTTGTGTTACACGTATCGCGCAAAATAAAATCTTCAAAACGCAACATTGAACAAGACGGCATGCTAAATTTCTAGTTTTCTAAATATTCAATCACAAATTTCTTCATTTTTTGTATATCAACTATATTACTCTTCAAATATCTTAAAAAGTATTGCATTTAACAAGCAAAAGTTGCATGAATTTCCGGTTAAACTGGAAGTGATACCAGAAGTTTCAGTATGCGATCGGATAGATCATAATGTCAATGTAATACGTATAAAATTATATTTTTAACAAACTGGTCGTATCTCTCCAAATAAAAAAGATATTGAGCTGACTCGATTATTTCGAACGCACTGATATATTAAATTTTAATAATGTATTACGTCTAGTACCTTGAGATTGGAGGAACAACTTAATGCATGTCTTTTAGTGCTATTACTCACGTCCTATTCGTAGGTCGCATAGCACGAACAATGATGAACAATTAATGCTATTTAAACGTGTCTTTGTTTTATGTTTTAAAGGTACGATCCCCTTAGTTATAAATAATATATTGAGAGCCATTACCGAAGTTTCAGCTGCGATTAAGTATCAACTTGAAAATTTCATAATAACGTTTAGGGGATCTGATGGTAAAACCCTCATTCTGAAACCGCATACTTTCGCTTTATAAATTTTAAATGCTTAAAGTACGCTCCGCAATGGTAAAGGCGTACATTAAGAAGTGCACCGGCACCGCCGCCGAAGGAAAGGAATTCCCGGCTAGTTTGCGGCGTAATTTTTAACCGTTGCGGCGAGAAGGGCGAATCGGCATGTATATACCAACTATACAAAACCCCCGACGCCCGAAGTTCACAGAGCGCCGCTTCTAATTTGTGATGCTTTTATCTGCAAGCCGCGGGAAGTGCTAATGTTTAACCCAGCCAAGGCGTCCGACATTCCAGTTATTCACCCCATCTACAACCCTTGTCAGTGCACCGCAGCAGCACTTAAGCCGTCGTAAAAACGTGAACTATTGAGCTATACATCATTTCGCTACAAATTGTCTCCGTGTGCATCTTTTTTTCCCTCCCCCATTCCGTTTTACTACTTGTTTATTAACGGCGCCTTAAATTCGCGTTCAAAGCGAAAGCTCTGCAAAGCTCTTACACCCTCGTCTCCAAAATATTTTAATTAAATTGTATTATAACGTCAACCTTAATAGGTGAAATGGGATTTGTATGCCTGCGACAATTCTTCTAACACCCTGCTTTCAAATTTTCATCCGCTGTCAGCTTATTTAAACATGCTACCCTTATTAGAGCGACGAAACAAGCGCTCAGGTAATGTTAAAATTTACTCCATTTTAATCTGTAGTAGATTCCTTCATGTAAATCACATCTTCCGTTTTTTCTGTAGAAATAAAGTCCCTTTGTAATGAATGTGGTAATGTCCGACGGAAACATAATGGATGTTGGGGATTAATCAAGATGAATTAATTAAAAGCGGTTGAGAAATGGAAATCGTGAACAGATATCCTTTCATCTTCGAAAGGTCCAAGGATTTACGACTCTTTCCGTATTCGCTACGTTGTTGATGGTTATTTCTCTCCGACATTGAGGCCCCCTTAAATTCCAATAGAAAAAGGGGAAGGCGTAGAATTCAAATGGTCTGTATTCGGCCTTATGGTGCAGGTGCAGATAACAAATTCCATAAATGCGTGTGAGTATGGTTAAATTAGTTACATAAGAATTTTCTTTTCTCATCCGATGATAAACGAATAAGCGCGCGAAGAAATAGAAAGGAAAATAACTCGAGAGTAGAGTTCAGGTTCGATAAAACAATAAATAAATATGCGGATTGTCTTAATATTTTTGGTGGTGGTACGTTTCCTGCGAATAACCGAGGGAATAAGCACTTGAAAGTATTTCAGTACGGTTGGTTGTATTGATTTTGAAATATTTTTGTATCGTTTCTGATATATTCGAGTTTATGGAGAACGGTTTTGAAAATCGTAGACTGGATGAATATGAATCGCGTCATTTTTTCTCTCAAACCCCCTCTGTATTGATTTTACTGTTTGAGTGCTACCACCATGTGCTAAAACTAGTATTTAAATGGCAGGTAACACAACCCCAAATTTGTTATGTAGTCTCACGCCAATTTAACTTACAAAATAAGAAAAATTAAATGCACCATCATATAGCTACATTGTTGCTTCCAAAATCGAACAGAGGGATTAAATAATCAAACAACCAACAATTATTAATTAAATAAAACTGGAGGACAAAATTTTTTTCTAACTTGAGCTCCCAAAATGAACAAAAATTAAATTTATCACGATCCAAATGACTACACTTAAATTTATTCAACAAAATAAGGTTCTTTAAATAAACCAAAGTGTACAGTGTACACCCTTGTCCTCAGAAAACCGAACAAGAAGAGACCTATTTTTAACAGATTTTGGCTAGTAGGATCAGAAAATTCAGTGATTATTAAAATTTCGAGCTGTTTTTCTTGGATAGGTACCCAAAGCTAGGAAATTGGTCACACAGAGGCCGAACCTTTTTGGACAATACCCCAAGGCTTCATGTATATACTCGTACATGAAGGACGAGATGAGAAATATCACGGTGGGTACCACTCAGGAAAGATCTTACAGTTTTAAGATAGGGCCACCCAATTTTGGATTTTATTTAGTTCAAGGCAATTCGCATCGAACTCTAGGGGTCGTCTGCAAGGGATATTAACAATGTAACATTGGCAGGTAGTATTCACTTTGACATTAAAATACTACGTAAAATCACCCTCAACCAAAAGATTTTAAAAATGTTAATAAACACAAAATATAAAATACAGAGTCCGAAAAGCAAATGAAGCAATTTAAATAAGCATACATTCCCATTGCATATTTTCACAGATTTCATTAAGAGATCCCCGTTTTTTTTTCTGCACATCATCAACCGTGAATACATCTACATCACTTAAACCAAATAAAGCATTTAAGCTAGTAAAACTCCGAAATAGTTTGGGGAAGTAACTATTTGCATATGCAAATTCGAGTTCATTAATACAATTGTTGGTTGCAAAACGAAAACTTCTCCACAAAAACAGGCAAGATGGCGCTTCTGCCATTCTAATTACGCCGGATAAAAAAGAGAGGAACTCCGCGTTTGTTTTATTATGCGGTTTTTCCGATGGACGCTAATACTACAAAGTCATTAAACTGAAATACGAGCATAAACTCCGTTCTCGTCTTGTTAATTTTTGCTCCGGAGCCTCGTGGAATTTTATTATTATACGTAAGGGGTGGGATACTGTTTGAAAACGACCCCTACAGTTTAACAGTCTCTTATTTAAAATGTATTTATTGAGTGGTAAAACTTTTTTGAAATGTTTTATCGACACGGAAAGGGTGTTTTATTAATCAAAGTGATAGTGCAATTAGATATTCGAACATTGTTTTAACTCAATACTCGCCGAATAGCGAAGTCATGAAACTAGGTGTATACCTACTCTAAGTTTCATTTTTTTAATATTTATCGCCCATTTTCTGGTGATAATGTTAAGGGGGTTGAGGGACCCGGATAGAGGAGAGTTGTAGACTATATGGAAGGAATAATTGCAATCAATATCGGTATTTGCCCCTCTGCCTGTGGTCGTGCACTATATTATATTATTATATTATATTATTATATTATATTATTATATTATATTATTAGGTATATTATATTATTATATTATATTATTAGGTATATTATATTATATTATTATATTATGGAGGAGTGCCGCAGGGCACAGTTCTCGGACCAAAGCTTTGCATTGGATGATTCACGGGGAATTAGTATGGTCGCCTTGTCGGTTACCCTCACGGGCTCCAGAAGCTCTAGGCTTCTTCTTAGGCTACCCTGAGACAGATTATGGAGTGCTTCCCTTCGAACTGAGACGCTGGGTACCTGACGTCGGATTGCCCCCTTGAGCCAACGACCCAGACACAGGGCCCGCTTGACCCGAAGGTATGCCCTCAAGGGGAAATCAATCTGAAACTAGCATTAAAAAAATACCAACCGCAATTCTTGGCAGGGCGACAGAAATTTACTGCGTTTAAGCACAAAATTGAAATTTGCAAAAATGTGCTAAAAATGAGAAAGGCGTGTATTAAAGAAACATTTTTTCTAGAAAAAAATGCTTTTATATTTCAACTACTACTAAATGTGAAAGTCAAACAGTTTCCCGGGTTCGCATGCTGCCAATCTTCGAACAAGGCAATATTATGCACGGAAGGTCAAATCAGATTGTTAAATCAAACTAGAAAATTAATTCCGGGGATCATTTCACTAATTATTATTCAATTAATAGACAGCAGACGGATAGGTTTCATATACATTCACATTTGTGCGCTAAAACATTATTGAGCTAAATGAAATATAAAATTAAATTTGCATTATTCATTTGAAATGCAGAGGTTTGAATTTATGTGAGTACGTGGGAAAATTGACAAATTCGTCATTATTTGTTGATCTTATTTGTATATAAAAATGTTCTCGCACTGTATTGAAATATGCATCACGTATTTTTCACACATTATTTATATATGTGGTAGATTATTCGAATTTCAGTTTCTTTCCTGCTTCAGCCCCGTATAAATGACATTAGAATATCAATCTGCTATGAGCTGTAGGTTCCCAATGAGCCTGAAATACGTGGTCTCGGAAAATACATACTGTATTCCAGTTAAAACGTATCACTCTGAATAAGTCTCCTTTAAGCTTTTATTCGGTTGCAACTTAGGAGGTTAATCATTGGAAATTTTTGGCATGTGCCCTAGCAACACACATCCGTATAAGAAACGTTTTTGTAGACTAAAACCTTACGTCTATAATACGCAGATATTGCGACAGTATAACCAACCTTTTTTACCAAAATTCGACTGCACCAAAATTTCTCGAGAAAACACTTTTTCTTATTAATTTAGGTGCGTAGAATCCAAAACAATTCGTACTTTTTCGATCACACTTTCTCAATCAAAAGTTATAGACTAGAAACCAATTTCGAAAGAAAATTCAAAGGGCTGTAACTTTTGAACTAGTAGCCCAATCTTGGAACTGTTTGTAATTATGGATTCTACAGGCCACATTCTATAAGAAAATTTTTTTCCGGGTCGATCTGAGACAATTTTTTATGAGGGCCTCAAAAAAAGGTAGTGGTATAACCTTCCTTTTTTACCAAAAATCGACTGCACCAAAATTTCTCGGGAAAACACTTTTTCTTATTAATTTTGGTGCGCAGAATCCAAAACAATTCGTACTTTTTCGATTAGACTTCTCAATCAAAAGTTATGGACTAGAAACCAATTTCGAAAGAAAATTTAAAAGGGCTGTAACTTTTGAACTAGTAGCCCAAATCTTGGAACTGTTTGAAATTATGGATTCTACAGGCCACATTCTATAAGAAAATTTTTTTTCCGGGTCGATCTGAGACAATTTTTTTTTCGGGCCTTAAAAAAGGCAGTGTATAAACCTTCCTTTTTTACCAAAAATCGACTGCACCAAAATTTCTCGGGAAAACACTTTTTCTTATTAATTTTGGTGCGTAGAATCCAAAACTATTCGTACTTTTTCGATCAGTCTTCTCAATCAAAAGTTATAGACTAGAAACCAATTTCGAAAGAAAATTCAAAGGGCTGTAACTTTTGAACTAGTAGCCCAATCTTGGAACTGTTTGTAATTATGGATTCTACAGGCCACATTCTATAAGAAAATTTTTTTCCGGGTCGATCTGAGACAATTTTTTTT